ATACATATCTTTAATTATTTGAATATAAGCATTATTGACTCCTTTCTTTTCAAGAACTCTTCATAGCACTTCTCTTGGAACTTTATCATATGTTTTTTCTAAATCAATAAATATCATATGTAGATCCTCCTTATTTTCTCTATATTTCTCCATCAAACCTCTTAATAAATGTATGGCTTCCATAGTCGACCTACCCGGCATGAATCCAAATTGATTTTGAGAAACATTAGTATCACGCCGCAACCTATGCTCCATAACTCGCTCCCATAGTTTTAAAGTATGACACATTAACTTAATACCTCTATAATTCGCACAATCTTGTGCATCACCTTTATTCTTAAAAATAGGAATTAACACACTCATTCTCCACTAATCTGACATCTTCTTAGTTTTCAAAATAGTATTAAAAAGTTTAGTAAGCCATGAAATTCCTTCATCTCCTAAGAATTTCCACACCTCTATTGGATATCATCAGGTCCAACAGCTTTTCCACCCTTCATTTTCTTTAAAGCCTCTCTAACTTCAGTTTTACTAATACGCCAATAAAAACATAAATCTTTATTTTCATTTAGGGTGCGAAGGTCACTATAGTCAATCTTATTTTTACAATCTTCATTAAAAAGTTTAGCAAAATATCTAAACTGTTTGGCGGAGATAATTTGTATATTGAACCTCATGTATTACAGAGCTTGTAATGGTTATATATAAAATGTTGAAGGACAATTAGTTGTAATGCCATGTGCTGCCGTTAGTAGCAAAGCAGAGCACGTGAATAAAGAACCGAATGGTGCGGTAGTGGAGATGATGAGCCTGTGTGAATTTGAGATATTAGTCGATTGTATATGAGTGCTAACAGCCCATCAAATTGTTGATTTGGTGATTGAATCGTTAATTTGTGATGAAGAGTAAACAATGGCTTGGTTAGGAGATCTGCTATTTGATTGAGTGAGTTGATGTGATGAACTGCAATCTCTTAAACTTGGTATTGTCATTGATGAAGTGATAATCAATTTATATGTGTTTGATCATGATGTGGCAGATGGGATTGTTTGCAAGGGTCATTGTTGAGGTATTGTCAAAATAGAGTGTTGTTGCGGGTGTTTGCGGTTTGTGAAAGTCTGTTATGAGTCGTTTGAGTTAGATAACATCTAATATTGTTGAAGCCAGAGCTCGATATTCTACCTGTGTTGATGATTTGCCTGTCGTAACTTGCTTTTTAACGCCCCAAGAGATCAGATTTTCCCCGAGAAATGTGCAAAAATTTGTGATGGATTTGCGGTCTAAAGTGTATGCAGCCCAATCGGTATCCACGTAAGTACGAAGGTGAAGTTGGCTGCGAACAAGAGGAAGTCCATTGTATGGTGCCTTGAATGTACCCCAACAATCCTTTGAGAGATTGATAATGAGAGTTAGTGGGATTGTGCATGTGTTGACCTATGTGATTAGTGGCATAGGCAATGTCCAGTCGTGTAATGGTGAGATACTGGAGCGAGCCGACTTGCTAACGGTGAAGAGTAGGATTATGGAAAGGATGATCTGCTAGTGAACATTTGGATGGTTTGGTAGACATAGGTGTGAGAGCTAGTTTACAGATGCCAAAGCCAGAGTCTTTGATAATATCCTTAGTATAGTGTATTTGGTTTATGAAGTAACCATCGAGAGTATAATGTACGTGAATTCCCAAAAAGAGTGAAACTGTGCCCAACTCTTTAAGTGAGAAAGCAATTTGAAGCTTGGAAAGTATATGCCAAATGGTGGGTGGATGATTACATGTGATGAGCATGTAATCTACTTACATTAGTATATATATTTGTATATTGGTGTGGGAGTACATGAGTAATGAGGGATATGATTTGCTGAATGTGAAAATAATGTTTATAATCAGAGAGGTGAACTTGTGAAACCACTGCCTTGAAGCTTGCTTGAGATCATATATGATTTTGTTAAGTTTGCAGACATGACGGGGAAATTAAATGTCTGTGAAACCAGGAGGTTGTCGCATATAAACATCTTCTTTGAGATCTCTATGCAGAAAAGCATTGGAGGCTTCTAATTGGATGATGTTCTAATTTCCCTGAAGAGTTATGATGAGGAAGATTCGGATCGTGACAATTTTGGCTGCTGGACCAACGGTCTCTAGGTAATCGATACCGACCTCCTGATTGAAACCTTGAATGACTAATCTGGCTTTGTAGCGACCGATTTGGCCATTAGGTCATAGTTTAGTCTTGCATTTCCAACAACATCCAAGCATGGACTGATTTGAGGGAGGTGGAACTAAGGACCCTATGCCCTGTTTTTGCAAGGTGAGGAATTCAATGGACATGGCAGAACGTTAGTATGGAGATTTGGCTACTGGAGTATAACAGGTTGGGGTGGAGGTTGATGGGGAAGTGGCTAAGAGATTAAAGAAATGCTTTTGTTTTAGATGATCTATTTGAGACGTGTTTGCATGGAATGAGTTGAAATTGGTGGTGGAAGTGAAGAGGTGAAGTTTGAGTGGAGTGTGAGTTTCAATGGATATTGGTGGGATTGGTGAAGAACAAGTGGTGGGTGGGGGAGTTGGGTTGGGATCAGGAGGCTGAGAGGGAATATGTCAGCTAATGTGAGGTGATGGTTTAGGAAAGACTTGTAATGCCGCAAAATCTAATTTGAAAAAGTTATTCTTTTAATAATAACACTGAGAGCTATCTAATATCATATATTAGTAATAAATAATAAAATAGATTCTATAATTCAAAACATCAATGTACATATATATATTCATTCCTAAAAGTCACATATAATACTTAGGATTATCATGGCAGTATTTTTCAGTATTGTATTAATATTAGTACACCATTGGCACAATAAATATAGTTGACACTCTTTACCCGTCGGCCCAGTAATCATCTCATTATACATTGTAATTAGTATCACGTGAATCAGTATATGATATCATCCTGTACAAGTCAATCCGTTTCCAACCAATATGTCAACTAGTCTTCACTTAGCTTTTACACACACATTACTATCATAATATTATAACAGTAATCTCAATCACATATTCACATTTATTTTCAATGTATTGCAGCAAATAAAGCATAATTGAGTTTAATTCAAAAAATGTCAAAATGTTCTAATGGTGGACAACAAAAATTATACTGAGCAAAAATTCACATTTTTAGAATTTAACCAAAATTTCAAATATTATATAAAATAACATTCTGAAGCTTAAGTTGAACTAAATCACTATTTTTAGACATCTAAATAAATTTCTTAGTATGAAAAATTCATTTTATTTTCAAAATCATTCGGTGAAAAATCTCAAATAAATACTCAAAATGTTCATAATCTCAATCTCTATAACATATAAAAAGTTATGTGATGAAAACTTTACCAATACAAAATTATCGTTATTTTTTGGTATCGGAAATACAAATTTGATCAGAAAAATAACAAAAAATAAAATATTTGGAATCTAAAGTAGGATAATGATTCCTTATGACAAGATGAACAAATCTCCTAACTAAGCTGACTGACAAAAATCGCTCCGTGACCTCTAAATATGAAATTTTCTTTTCTCTCTCTTATTTTTCTCTAACACGTCTCTATTAGCCAAAATGTTATGGGATATTTTAATATAATTTAAAAAGTTATTATTAATGTTTTAAGATATTTTTATATAATATAATTATTTAATATATAATATAATTTAATCTATTTTCATTATAAAAATTATAGAAATATATATATATATATATATATATATATATATAATCATTTTATTTAAAAAATATCGGTTTGCAAAACAAACACCTGACGGTC